TGTATTTTTAAACTATTACTCCAGTGAAAGAGCTCAAAGTAACCATTGCACAGGAGACTTGGTGGGCCCCCAAAGCCAGTCTGGATATAATTAAGAAAACATCTGAATGTTTCTGACAAGATCCGAATCTTAGTCGTCCAGCCTGTAGTTAGTCCCTTGACTAACTAAACCAATATGGTTATAAACACAAAGTAGCATATTTTAAAAACAATCTCGTAAACAGAATTTCTGTATAATACTTGGATTGGATCTCTGGTTTATCCGACCACACTGGGCTCTGCTGCACCTCTCTATTTTTCACATTAATACTGCAACATACAACATTGCATCATAATCATCATTTAGTTCCACCCATTCGGTATGAGGCAGCAAACACAAATTTATACAAGACGCTCCTAATAATTAATAATTAATGCTGCTACTTTACTACATCTTAGATGTGCTAAAATATCATTTGTAATTAAACATATGAGTTCATCCATTGACCTTACATGAAATTCATAACTCTGGTATTTCCACCTTACAGTATGACTTACATTGCAATGGATGTTGCACATGGCTGGCAATTGAAAGCTTTCAAATATTGTGTGGCACAATAACAAGTTTCCTTTGTTCTGTACGACTTCCTGCCATGGAAGCATAAAACAGCCTTTCCGCAGTTAATGAGTTACTTAATTTCTGTAATGTCAAGCCATTATTAAGAATAGGGATCTAAATAAGTTAGCTTACTTCATAACTCTACACTTTAAAAAATATGTTAATGTTTTATTGCTTGGACAAAAACTGCATGGTGCTTTATGACCCACGGACTTAAAACTTGCCACATGCATCATCCAATTTGACCGTTATCAATACAAGTTATCCCAAAAAACAGATAAATCTCATTAATAAAATAGCAGTAATCTCAAAGTGCACTTCATAATACTCCACATCAATTTGTATGTAGTAGTCCACCAGAACTGTCTGCAGCAGCAGACAAACATGCACTATTTATAAATATAACACTTTTTTCTACAATGCAATGCACAACTGAACAGAAGTTGCATACAATAATGACGGACAAATCAAAAGAAGTAATACAGTCAAATTGTGAGGTACCTGAAACAACACTGCATTTCACATAGTAAAATGCAATTAAATTCCCTGCCAAGCTTAATACATTTAAATATAGCATACAAAGGGTATTTAAATTAACTGGTCCGAGAGCTTTGGGGTGTGGAAAATTTAAACAGCAGAGCAAAGAGTTTGTGACTCTAAAATATGTTGCTCTTCATTTCTGAC